GATATTGCTAAATTCTGCCATGCAGCCATCAAAATTCGGTGGCCGCTGACATCCAAGTATGTTTTTCAGTCTCCAGCTTTGAACAGGGACAAAGTCTTAGTTTTAAACAATGCCATGATTTTACTCTGTTTCTAGGTTATTCTTAGCTCAGTTTCTAGATCCTTTTAGTTTAATATAAACAATAGTCTGCTCTATCCATACGTAAAAAATCAGAATCAGTGTTTTCTGTATGGTGCTGCTGTTAGATTGTTTCTGTTTTGCTCTATTTTATACTTGTTTTTATGCTGGTCTTTATTCTTTGAATAAAGGATTGATTGATTGAACATGCCAGAGAGGGCCAATAGGAACTCCTGTTGATTGGCTGGTGAAATGATCCAGCTCTTCTTAGCTCCTGCAGGAAGAGTGGAATATTGGATCCAGCCTCCCGAGTTCAGTCAGCAAAGGTGCCCAAACTAGCACTGAAGGGCCACCGCTTAAATTAGGAAACATGGTAGCCACGACTGCAGAGGCAAATGTTTTCAGCACCGTGGGATGGCCACAGCATCCATGTCTCAGCAGTCAAGCAGACAAAAAGTTACTTTTTTGGAGTCAGCCCTACCAAAATCTTTTGATTTCAGGAAAACAAGTTATTTGAAAATGAGTTGAGGCAGAGAATCTGTTCTGGACAGATTACTTCTAGCTGTTAGTATGCTAAAGCTGCAATCTTATGCAAGAGGGGAGTTCCCCTGATTTGGGGGATTCACTCCTGAGTAGGTGCAGCTGCCTCTGCCCCTGGGCAGCAGTTGACCAAGTGGTGGTCTGACCAGGACCAGGCCTGGCTGCCTCGAGCAGGGAGTTTCGGGAGAGAAAGAGGTGCTTAGAAGCGGATGGGAGGTGGGAAGAGTGAGATGGCTGAGGAGCATTTCTGTTGATGCCCTGGACCCAATTCAGAGGACACTTCCCAGGTACATTTTATTTTTTCAGTTGACAGGCACATCAGAGCGAGAAACGATTGATGAAAAAGGTTGAATCCAGCAAAGTTGTGTAAACCTGTTTCTGCGTGACAGATATAGGCAGATAAGAGGAGCTGCTTGCTAAGCACCTAATTGCTTTGATTGCAAAGATGTCAGGTGGAAGGCAGAGGAGATTAAGAATTGGTTCTATTGATTGCCCTTGTCTCCTGCCTTTTCTCCGAAAGTTCAGGTTGGCTTCCGTGAGGTTTCCCCTAATGGCATCCCAAAATAGTCCCATGGGGAGGGTGCAGAAATAGTCACCCTGGAGGAGTGTGGGGACTCCTCAATCAATGTTCAATACCTGCTGGATACTCTGTGTGCGCATGTGAATGGGCTTGAATGTTGGGGAGATGCTGATGGGTTCGCTTCTACTGGATCTTCACCAGCCAACACTGGGCAGCCATCTGCCCTGCATGCTTTAGCATGAAGCGGGGACGGTGGGTAGCCCCAAAGGCCCCTCCAACCCTGTGAGAAATGATGATGAAAGATACATGAGGAGGAGCCCATAATTTTGAGGGTCAGGAAATGCTCCTCCTTCCTTGCTTTTAACTTTCAGGAGAAAATGTTGTAGAAAAGGTTATGTCTGTAGATATGAGAAGCCTAATAATTTTTTCTCCTGAAAGTTAAAAGCAAGGAAGCTTTTATATATATATATAAAAACAGAACATATATAGTTTGTTTGTTTGTTTGTTTATATATATAAACAAAAGCAAGGAAGCATATATAT